AAGAAGATAGTCCTAGTGCTTGGGCCCCTGCCTCTCACGTTGACAACCTGGATGAAGCGCCTGACTCCTGATTTCCATCTGACTCAGCCCTGGCCATTGCAGCCATTTGGGGAGTAAAGCAGCAGATACAAAAAGTCTATCAATTAATTAATCAACCTACCTCTCTCTCCTCCACCCTCTCCTCCCTCCCTCTCTAACTTTAACTCTGAATTTCAAGTAGTTTTCCTAAAAGAAAAAGAAAAATATCCCTGAAAACAAATGAAGATGACAATACAACATATCAAAACTTAAGGAATACAGTAAGAGCAGTGAGATTAGTGCCTGTATCAAGAAAGTGGAAAAGCATCTAATAAATGATCTAACAATGCATCTCAAGGCTCTAGGAAAAACAAGAAAAAAGTAAATTCAAAATTAAGAGCACAGAAATAATACAAATTAAAGAAGAAAAAACACAAATTTAGAAAATCATATGAAAGATCAATGAAATTAACAGCTGATTTTTTCAAAAACTAAAATTGATAACCTATATTGGCCCAATGAACAAAAAGGGGTTGGGAGAGACCCAAATTAATAAAATCAAAATTGAGAAAAAAACCTAACAGATACTACAGAAATAAAAAAGAATCCTCTGGAATTATTACAAATAGCTGTATGCCAACAAACAACCTACCAAAATTGTTTCATGAAGGCACAGAAAATCTGAACAAGACCAACAGCCAAGACAAAGACTGAATCAGTAAAAAAGACCCTCCCAAAGGAAAGCCTATGACCAGGTGGCTTCACTGCTGAATTATGCCAAACTTTTAAAGAAGAACTAACCCCAACTCTTCTTACACTATTAAAACAACTGAAAGGAAGGGAATCCTCCCAAACTCCTTCTATGAGACCAGCAACACCTTAATTCCAAAACCAGAAAAAGAAACAACAGTAAAAGAGGCGTATAGACTAATATTCCTGATGAAAATACATATAAAAAACTTCAACAAGATACTAGCTAATCGAATCCAAGAACACATCAGAAATATCATATACCTGGATCAATTAGGATTATCTGTAGGATTCAGGGATGGTTCAACATACACAAATTAACAAATGTGATATTGTATAATGTAAATTATAAATGTAAAATTGATAATGTAATAACATTAACAAATTGAAGAATAAAAACTATGATTATCTCAACAGATGAAGAGAAAGCATTCAATAAAATACAACATCCTTTCATGATAAAAAAGGAAAAACAGGTTGCTGGTTATAGATGGAACATACAGGGACCAGCACTGTGGCATAGTGGATGAAGCCGCTTCCTGAAGTGCCAGCATTCCATTTGGGCACCAGTTCAAGTCCCAGCTGCTCCACTTCCAATCTCTCTGCCAAAGCTCTCTGCCATGGCCTGGCAAAGCAGTGGAAGATGGCTCAGGTCCTTGGGCCCCTGTACCTACGTGGGAGACCCGGAGGAAGCTCCTGGCTTTGGATAGGTGCAGCTCCAGCCGTTGCAGCCATCTGGGGAGTCAACCAGCAGTTGTAAGACATCTCCCTCTCTCTGCCTCTCATCTCTCTCTGTGTAACTCTAACTTTCAAATAAATAAATCTTTTCTTTAAAAAAAGGAACATACATCAACACCATCAAGGCAATATATGACAAATCCACAGTCAGCATCATGTTGAATGGAAAATACTAGAAGCATTTCTAGTAAGATCCTAAACCAGAAAAAGATTCCCATTCTCACCATTACTATACAATATAGTTCTTTAAGTTTGAGCCAGAGCCATTAGACAAGAAAAAGAAATCCAATGGATACAAATGGGAAAGGAGGAAGTCAAATTATCCCTGTTCACAGAGGATATGATCCTACACACAGGGGAACCAAAAGACTCCACTAAAACACTATGCGAACTCGGCAGAGCTTGGCATAGTTGAGGGATATAAAATAAACACAACAATCAACAGCATTTGTATACCCAAACACTGCCATGACTGAGATAGAACTTATAAGATCAGTCCCATTCACAATACCTACAAAACATTTAAATAACTTGGAATAAAATTAACCAAGGGTGTGAAATCTCTAACAAGAAAATCACACAACATTAGCAAGCAAAACACAAGACACAAAAAAAAAAAACTGGAAAAATCTTCCACATTCATGGAGCGGAAGACTGAATAACAACACAATGTTTACACTATCCATGATGTGTTCTTTAGAGTCCTACACTAACACGAAATTAGTCAGACCACCATAAGATCCCCCTTCTAAAGGGATGATACACAGGTTGGGAGGGAGGGCCGTGAAGCCTCCAGATGATTCCACCCTGGGCATCACCTGACAAACCACACGAAATGCCTTGCTGAGCTCAATGGATCACCAGAAACATGAAACGCAATACAAAATAGATAGTTGAAAAAAAATAGTATTCCTATCTATAAAACTATATTAAAACTATTTGTGGTACAGGAATGGGGCCACTAAGAAATCAGTGATCAGTAGTCAGAGTAATATCCAAATTCATGACCATGGCCAAGAGCCCGATCTGCTGCTTTCCTGTTCCCCACCCTATCTGCTCACCCTCAACTCCCAGAAGGCTGCTCTACTCCAACCACATCATCACCCTGCTTCTGGTTTCTGCACTTGCTACTCCCTCTGTGTAGGAAGCTCTTTCCCTGGGCTTACCAGGTCTCTGCCCAAATGCTCCTTAGTGAAAACACAATGTCATCTACAAAAATCACTGCTATTCACCTAGATGTTCATCCCTTTTTTCTGAGTGCCACTAATTGTCACCTGATAGTATCATGCATTTCTCTGCATGCTTCTTATGCTCTATCCTATGCATCTCTGGATTAAACTGTAGGTTTCATAGGGGCACTTCCACCTTTCCTCTGTGCCTAGCATAGTAGTTAAAACACAGTAAGCAGGGCAATTAACAAATGTTCAATCATCACACACAACGGTAACTCAATGGTAACTCAATGTGAATAAAATAGGCCTCACTTGTGCCTTGGTTTAAACTTTTAATTCAAATCCCAAAAACATTTTAAGGAAAACTCACTGAACTTTGTATTTCCCACGGTCCTAGTACTTCCCTTTTTCTTAAGATTTATTTATTTGAGGGGCAGAGTTATAGATGGGGGGGGGGGGTAGAGAGAGAAGGAGAGGGAGAGGGGAGGGAGAGGAAGACAGAGAGAGAAGCAGGGAGGGAAGTAGGAAGGGAAGGAGGGGGGTGTCTTCGATCTGCTGGTTCATTTTCCAAACGGCTGCAATGGCCAGAATTGGGCTGATCTAAAGCCAGGAGCTTCTTCCAGGTCTCCCACATTGGTTCAGGGGCCCAAGCACCACACTGCTGTCCCAGACACATTAGCAGGGAGCTGGACCTCAGTGGAGCAGCCAGGACATGAACTGGTGCCCACATGGGATGCTGGTGCCACAGGCAGAGAGGCTTATTCTAGCATGCCGCAGTACCAGCTCCATCATCTTCCTCTTAGAACACAAATAAGACAAAGAAAACTGGAAAGTCACAGTCAAAACTCTAGCATTTCTAGATCATCTTTAATAAACTTTCTCTAATACAAAAAGCCAAATATATCAAAACAGGCCTTAAAATTTCAGCTACAGCGATGTACATTCGGCTGGGCAGTCAAGACCTCCACATCCCATAGCAGAGCATCTGGGTTCAACTATCTGCCTCCTGTTCCTCATTTCAGCTTCCTGCTGATACAGACCTGGGAGGCAGGAAAGATATCTCCAATAACTGGGTTCCTGTCATCAAATTTGGGAACTTGAATGGAGTTCATGGCTCCAGATTTCTGCTGTGGCCCAACCCCTAGCCGTTGTGTACATTTGGAGAGCAAGTCAATGGCTGAGGACACTCATGCTCACTCTCTCTCTCTGTGCCTCTCAAACAAGTCAATATTCAAAATTCAGATAGAAGAATTCTTGATACTTTGATGTAACATCACTGTTGTCCCCACCATCACTATCGCGGAAGCATATGTGTGTTGAAGTGTTAATAAAATTTTACTGTTGACCATTTGTGTTTCTTCTTTTGCAAACCACTGAAGAAAATGATCAATAACATTAGTTATAACACTAACATTCACAGATAAATGCAAATAAAAATTAATGAAGCATCATCTCACTCCAGTTATAATAGCTACTATCAAAAAAAAAAAAAGCAAACACCAGCAAAGTGTAGAGAAAAGGGAATTCTAATACATTTGTGAGAATGCAAATTAGTAGAGCCATTATAGAGAACAGCATGGAGCCTCTTCAAAAGGCTTAAATTAGATCTACCACATGACTCAGCTATCCCAGTTTTGCGAATATAGCCAAAGGAAATGAAACCAGCATACGAAAGACTTAACTATACTCCCATGTTTACTGCAGAACTATTCATAATAGGTATCAATCTAGATGCCCAACAATAGGCGAATGGATAAAAAAAAAAAGTGATACACACACACACACACACACTCAAGGAAATACTACTCAACCATTAAAGAATGAAATCCTGACATTTCCCACAAAACAGAAGGAATTGGATTTCACTGTTAAGTGAAATAAACCAGACATAGCAGGAAAAACACTATGTTTCATGTCATACGTGGAAGTTTGTGTGTGCGTGTGCATGTGTGTGTCATGTCAATAAGTCGTGAAAAGGGAAGGCGATCTTGGGGAAGATCTGATAGTGGGTACCCACTGCACACGAGTGAGGGTCATGGATTCTTGTGTTCCACACAGCAGTAGGACGGAACTAGGGCCGGGCAAAGACACTGACCGGGAAGGACACTGGTGCGCAGAGAAAGTCCTGCAGAAGTCTATCAAGATGGACACAGCAGGTGTCCTGGGTTCATCCTGCCAGAGGGGGGGCCGCACTTGTGCGCGGTTATTTCATGCCAAGAACACGCAGGAGCCCAGCATACATGTGTACACTCCAGGTCTTTCTGTAGAGAGCATTACCCGCTAAATGCACAAGAGCTATGATGGAAAGCAACCAGAACTGACCGTAGAGCGATAGTCTTTCAATAAAAGGGGATACTGTATTACTGCTTCAAAAGCCGACAACGTGATCTTGATAAATTCTTCCGACGCCGTCAGTCCTAGAAATACAGTTAAGGTCGGAGGTGTTTATTAAGCACGGCATCAAAGTGCCTCAAGCAAAGACAAAAGGTCCCGTGGTCTACTCACCAATGGCTCCATCTATATTTGTTTCTCCTGAGTCTACCGACGTAATATGACTCTGGAAAAAAAAAAAAGTACTGTTTTTAATAAATAGAACTGTCAAAATAACTCAAATAAAACTTAAGTATATTTTACCCCAATGTATATCATTCTTCATAAAATAATTCATGGAAGGCATTATATACCCCATATAAATACTATAACCTGTTTTTACACATGGTTATATTAAATACTATACATAAATTATAAATTACGATAGCTTAAAAATGTACAAAACACTACCAATGGGGTTTAATGTTGGAATAACTCAATAGGGACACAAACACATATAGAATTGAGTGATCCAATTGATGCGTGAGCATATCCAATAACAAGCCATGCTCACTGCCTCACAACCTTGTACATCAGTGAGCACAGCCCCTGAGCAGATCAAAGCATCATCTCAGAGGAACGTCAAGGCTTGGCCAACTTGAACTCAAACTGACGCGAGACGCAGGTTAGAGCCCGAAGCCTGTCCTCAGATTTCACCCGTTGTCAGTTCCTCTCGGGAACTTCCTTCCCCCAGCCCTTGGACCCCCACGCTCCGGGCCGATGCCTGATTGCAGGGTGATCCCAATGCTGTCTGATAGGCAGCCTGAGCCGCTGTGCAGTGAGCTCTCTGCAGGCCTCGGTGCCTAAGGTCAGGTGCTCCATGAACGTGACCTCAGTGTGAAGACCACGGCCACGGCTGGAACGGGCTGAGCACTCGCGGTTGTGATGTGTGGAGTCACAGCAACAGCGTTCTAGTCCTTGGCCCCCAAAGCGGTCTACACAACATATTTTCTATTTAACAAATAGCAAATAAAACACAAGATGACCTTGGACTAAAAAAGAACTCAGTGTAAGCAATTAGCCCAGAGTGAAAACTGGTCCACTACTATGTGCCAAGGGTTCTTCTTAAACATAAAAGAACATATGTAATATACATACAACAACTTACGCTTGCATTTTCAGTTAAAATACAGAAAACCCTGAGATCTACCATTCAAGACACCAACACACTCCCAGTTCAATCTCCCTGTCTCACCCGCCTTTCTCTCTCCGAGACACAACCACCTTCATGACTATAATTTCCTTCATATTTTAAAAATACCCTCCCACATATATATGTGCTTCCAAACAGGATGCTATCTGGATGTGTTGTAACTTAACTGTAATTGTATGAAACCATATGCAGTAGAAACAAATAAGATAGTATACAGCCTTTAAGACGTTTTAGTTATGATACAATGTGAAATTAGAAAGGCAGAATATTCATCTGTCTATCCTACACACACACAACATGGTCTCAACCACTCGTATCCACAGATATCATACATACATTAAACACACGACCTATATAAACAAATGCAGACATATGAATAGAAAACATTATTAAGGACACAATACGTTGACAATGGTTGTCTCAGAGGTGAAGTTACTGATGATTTTCTTTCCTCAAATTTATAATTTTCCACATTTTCTTTAACAAGCATGCACTTTAGTAAGCACAAATTACCTTTAAAATAAAAATTTTCAAAGACTTGTGTTTTCTGTCCAGCTTAAAAAAAATACAAGCACTCTCAAAGTAAAAAAAAATTACTGGATAATGTAAATTTTCAGTCTGTAAGTAAGCAGAGAGGGAAAAGACTAAAAAATAAAGAATAGAGTTAATAAAAGAAAGAGGTACTGTATACTTTTAATGAAAATTCGGCTGAAATCATATCTTCATAAAATTCCCAAACAGGCAGGTACCTTCTGATAAATTTGAGGTTGAATTTTTAAAAAGTCAGAGGAAAATATGTCTTGAGCCTTAACTCTACATCGAAGTCTGTGCGTTACTAAAAGGCAGGCACAGAGCAGTGTGGCTGCTCGGGCGCTACTTGTGCTGAAATAATACGCAGATGATACACAAACCCTGGGAACACGAGCCATCATGTCTGAGGAAGAATCCCTCAGAGAGGAGGGGCAGGTCACCACGGACCCTGAGACAGCAGGTGGACGTCCCCTGTGTACCTCTGCTTCTCTGCCCCTGGGGTTTCGTAACCACCCCATGTACTACCTTTTCCTTGTCTTCAATGTCCTTAAGGGTCCTCTAGATGGTGAACTTAGGGGCTTCTTCTAACTTACTTTCTTCCTTACACTCCCCCTATTGAATTAAAAAAATAAAATCCCCACTGAATACTTCATCGATTTCCTATATTGAATGTTCGTGGATCTATTTCTTCTTCATTCTTAGCGTAATGGAAGTAATGAGGGAAGAGTGACGACAATCTTTAGCGATACGAGGAGAGAGCAGAAGGGAACATGAGCGGCCATCTCAATGAGCATGAAGGTGTGCCTATCGGGACAGCCGAGTGGACATGCCCAGTACACAGATGGCCCCTTGACACGAGCAGTCAAGAACTTAAAGTGAGATCAGTGACTTGCACTGTGTTTTCTTCTCTAACCATACTTAACCAATCAAAGCAGAGTAGATAGGTGGGGAATTTTATTTAACCAGCATGAGGTTGTCCTAGAGAGCGAGCGAGCAAACGGAGTTATGGATATCTGCAAGGCCGTGATGGATGCTAAACCAGGCCATCTACGCCCAGTGAAAAGAAATATAAAGGACAGAGCCACGGAGGGCACGGTGATGAGTGGAACGCTGGGGAGAACCATTCGAGTCTCAGACAGGCTGCAGGGCTACTGGAGTTGGGGAGCGGAGGAAGTGAGTTGAGAGTCAGGGTTATGGTCAGACGAGGGGAGGCTGACCACAAAGTCAGGGGCCTGACCTCAGGGGTAGGCAGCCAACGGGCAGACAAAGGGACCCACGGGGAGAGAGGCAGCAGAGGAGCTGAGAGGCGGAGTGGCAGGAAGGGTCCTTCCGAGCGGGTAGCGGACTGTACAATGACGACAGGAACAGTGTGCAGACTACGGTGAGTTCTGAAAACATTGTAAGGAAAGAAGGACGATGGCCCAGAATCCAAAGACGACCACATCACAGGCTACCCCCTGACGGCATCATCTTTAAAGCTGGAGGTTTTCGCAGCAGAGCTAAGACAATGGACGCCTGGCTCACTGTCTAGGAGTGTAGGGCGGGAAACAGCACCACCTAGAGGCAGGGGACACAGCTACACCTTGAGGGTACGCCTGTGCTCCTCAGAATCATTTAATATTTCCTCCAAGAGCGTGAAAATAACTCCTATAGCAACCTTGGGAGATCAACTCAACATCTGTTTTTTTTTTTTAAATCTCCTAACAAGAGCAGTGATGTGGCATTGAGTAAGTATGTAGCATCCTGTTTTTAAACATAGGCATGTAATACCTCTGTTTTATCTACAACCGAAGCCAAAAATCTTTCAGCAAAGTGGTGTTCACCAAAATTAAAAATCTGTCAAGGGCAGGAAGTGTGTCTCTACATCGTTTTTGTAGAAAACTATAACCACTGACCGTTGTCCATTTATAAACTAATGAGGCCAGAACCTAGGAACAAACAACAAAGTCCTCTTCCTTAGCTCCTTGGTGAAGACCAGTTTCAAAGAACGATAATGATGCCCACAGCAAGTCCCCTAATGCATTACTTCCTGGTTCCCAGTCCATTCAAGGCGAGCCAGAAGCAGCCTGGTGTTCACTGGACAAGTTCCTCACCAGACTTCGCCCCCAGAGACTTCACTGCTTAAAATCTGCACGGGGGAGTGTGAGGGAAGGCTGCTTCTGCCAACAGGGAGTACAAACAGCAATTATCAGCTCTTTGGCCTGCAGCCTTTGAACACCTGATAATGGCTTACAAGTACCCTGCAAAATTATTTCCAAACCTCATCTCTTTAAACCTGCAAAACTTCATTTACTTGGAGAAAAACATTTAAAAAAAAAAAAAAAAAAAGAAAAAACTAATTCCTATGTTCATGCTTCCAATGTGAAGATCCTGAATTCTTCTACCAAAACCAATTCTCTAAAGAGGTAATTCTTGCCCATGGTGGCACCATGAACACTGAAGCCAACAGCAGCCCCAGTTCCAATGACTCCCCCACCTGCTCTATAAAGACCTTCCTTCGGAGTAATAATCACGCCAGCCCCTGCCTGAAGGCTCCACAGCCACGCGGAGACATGCCAGGAGCCCAGAAGAACCGGTTTAGCAAAGCCCAAGAAGTTCATGGCCGCAGCGTGGTGCTACTGGATATAGCTACTCAAAGAGAACTAAGCTTGAATACTCAAATTAAGGTGCGCTTTTTAAAAAATATATAACAGCACAACAAATGCTTTAATACCGTAGCTACTCTACCAAAAATTCTTTGGCAGATATTAAGACTAACAGTTGTCTCCAGATGCACCAGTAAGGCTTTGAAAACACACTGCTGAGTGCCTGCGTATGAATGGACAGCTTCCTGATGTCACAGAGTGCTGGGCTCTGCATACTGGGCTAGCGGGCATTTACGCCACGTAGCAACCACTTACCCAAAATCAACCCAGGATATCTGTGCTGAAGCAAAACCCTCAACTTAATCTAAGGCAGAAAACACAAGAGGCTTTAATATGTTCATCTGCACTGTACATTTCTAAAGGGCTATGGGATGCTGGGCAAGTTGGCTGTAGCGCAAGAGGTCAAGAGGGCATTGTAACTTGAGTAATACTTCTGGAATCTTCATGAATTAGAGAGGCAACAACCAACCCTCAAAGGTTCACCATAATGTAACAACTTTTTTTTTTTAACTTTTATTTAATGAATATAAATGTCCAAAGTACAGCTTATGGATTACAATGGCTCCCCCCCCATAACGTCCCTCCCACCCGCAACCCTCCCCTTATCCACTCCCTCTCCCCTTCCATTCACATCAAGATTCATTTTCATTTCTCTTTATATACAGAAGATCAGTTTAGCATACATTAAGTAAAGATTTCAACAGTTTGCTCCCACACAGAAACATAAAGTGAAAAATACTGTTTGAGTACTAGTTATAGCATTAAATCTCAATGTACAGCACACTAAGGACAAAGATCCTACATGAGGAGTAAGTGCACAGTGACTCCTGTTGTTGACTTAACAAATTGACACTCTTGTTTATGGCATCAGTAATCACCCTTGGCTCTTGTCATGAGCTGCCAAGGCTATGGAAGCCCCCTGAGTTCACCGACTCTGATCATATTTAGACAAGGCCATGGTCAAAGTGGAAGTTCTCTCCTCCCTTCAGAGAAAGGTATCTCCTTCTTTGATGACCCGTTCTTTCCACTGGGATCTCACTCACGGAGATCTTTCATTTAGGTTTTTTTTTTTTTCCCCCAGAGTATCTTGGCTTTCCATGCCTGAAATACTTTCATGGGCTTTTCAGCCAGATCCGCATGCCTTAAGGGCTGATTCTGAGGCCAGAGTGCTATTTAGGACATCTGCCATTCTATGGGTCTGCTGTATATCTCGCTTCCCATGTTGGATCATTCTCTCCCTTTTTGATTCTATCAGCTAGTATCTGCAGACACTATTCTTGTTTATGTGATCCCTTTGGTTCTTAGTCCTATCATTATGATCAATTGTGAACAGAAATTGATCACTGGGACTAGTGAGATGGCATTGGTACATGCCACCTTGATGGGATTGAATTGGAATCCCCTGGTATGTTTCTAACTCTACCGTTTGAGGTAAGTCAGCTTGAGCATGTCCCGAATTGCACATCTCTTCCCTCTCTCATTCCCACTCTTATATTTAACAGTGATCACTTTTCAGTTAAGTTTCAGCACTTAAGAAGAATTGTGTATTGATTACAGTATTCAACCAAAAGTATTAAGTAGAACAAACAAAAAAGATACTAAGAGGGATAACTTATCAAGTTGTTCATCAACAGTCAGGGTGAGGGCTGATCAAGTCACCATTTCTCATAGTGTTCATTTCACTTTAACAGGTTTCCTTTTTGGTGCTCAGTTAGTTGTCACCTATCAAGGAGAGCAATGGTATTTGTCCCTTTGGGACTGGCTTATGTCATTCAGCATAATGTTTTCCAAATTCCTAACAGGGATCACTTTTCAGTTAAAATTTAAACACCTAAGAATAATTGTGTGTTAATTACAGAGTTCAAGCAATGGTACTAGAACAAAAAAAAAATACTAAAATGGATAAAGTATTACATTGTACATCAACCGTCAGGACAGGAGCTGATCAAGTCACTGTTTCTCATAGTGTCCATTTCATTTCAACAAGTTTCCCCTTTGGTGCTCAGTTAGTTGTCGCCGATCAGGGAGAATATTTGTCCCTTTGGGACTGGCTTAATTCACAACTTTTTTTTAAAAGATTTATTTATTTACTTATTTATTTGAAAGTCAGAGTTACACAGGAGGAGGAGAGGGAGAAAGAGAGAAGGGGAGAGAGGGAGAGAGAGAAAGAGAGAAGGGGAGAGAGGGAGAGAGAAGGGAGGAGAGGTGTCTTACATCCACTGGATCACTCCCCCAACTGGCCACAATGGCTGGAGCTGAACCAACCCAAAGCCAGGAGCCAGGGGATTCCTCCAGGTCCTCCACATGGGTTCAGGGGCCCAAGGACTTGGGCCATCTTCCACTGCTCTCCCAGGCCATAGCAGAGAGCTCAATTGGAAGTGGAGCAGCCAGGACTCGAACCAACAGCTGTACTGCCAGGGCTGCAGGTAGCAGCTTTACCCGCTACGCACAGCACCGCCCCATGTAAGTACTTTTGATGGACAAGGAAACCCAGGTCCTGAATTGTAGTCAACACTTCTCTCACTTTACCAGTATTTCATGGGTGTCATCCACACTGAGCATAAGGAAGAGCACACAGGCAAGGTCAACAAACAGAATCAATAAGAAAAACAGTCAAAGAGTGCTGGAATGATCCACAATTACCCTACCAACACAGCCTGTGCAGAGCCAAACAACCTTCAGTTTATTTGCTAAAAGCCATCTACTTGGGTGAGCTGATACAGGATAAAATGTACTACAGGTTTTTCAATATTAAAACAACTTGTGCATCAGGGTTATTTTCTGGTCCCTAGAGATGCCCATATTGAGAAAACCCTGGAGAACACTGGGCACCTGCTAGGACACCCACCGGTGGGAGAAGGCAGCCTGTCCTCAGCGTGCCCTCCTCCCTTGTCCCTGAACACAGTTCGGAGAGGAGATGAGTCGTCCCTAAAATGCATATGCAGTTCCGGAAAGACTTTTACATAATTTCATGGAAGAATTTTACTTAATTCATCAACGGCTTTATGTTGGAGCCATTTGGTGGTTCTTTGAAAACTTACAAATGTACCCAGTAGGTATGTGCGGAAAAGTACTACACATGGAAAAAAAAAAAAAAAAACAAAAACAAAAAATAGCCACAGGAGGAACACAGGTAATCACACCTATCCCCAACCACCACTGTGCCTAAACATTCCAAAGTGAGCTGTGAGGTGTGCAGAACTACTAATTTCAGGCAACAAAATGTCAGAGCAATGGGACTGCACATACAGAATTACAGCCACACTAGAACGATGCCCATGCTGTATTTAAAAATAACAAACAACTGAAGACGAGGGTAAACACATTTTAATCATGTTCATAATCATGAATGTAATAACATTTTCTGCAACTCAGAATGTAAATTGCTAGAGTGTTAAGGATTTAAAATTGATCACAGAAGGACCCTTCACCGAACGTGCTACCCAAAACACTGCATCCTACTGGTAACCTCCACTCAACACTTACATGTAAAAATACCTGGTGAAGAACTCTCCAAAAATCCCCATTATCTCTTGGGAGTGGCAATTTTTTTCTTAATTCTAAACTAACAATAAAATTGAGATGCCTACTTTATTTTATCAAGATCTCTGCAGTATTTTGAGAACTATCAGTTCAACTTTCTATTGCTATCACAGTAAGGGCAGAATTGCTACGTGACAGATGTTTTAGCTTCCCTTTTCATAGCTCCTCACTATCACTTATATATATGCTAACTATTATCACTGATAAATATGCTAACTATTATGGGTGAGGGGAAAAGCCTAATTCCTAAGCCACAATCTAAACAAGATGACAATTTTGGGGAAGAAAAAACTGAAGTGTAAGGTAGTCCAGTGATTTTTCATTTCCACTTGTGTCACTGAAATTAAATTAGGGCTAAACTGGGCTTCATTTAGAGAAATGCTATCATAAAAAGAGACCCTGCATATGACTGAAGAACGTAAGCCAAAGTCAATAACCAGCATAATACAGTCTTAGCCTTTTGTTTTCCCCAGTTTTATTATTTTAGATTTTTTCCTGACGTCCAATTCTAAAATCCAGTGAAGTGTTTCTGTGGGCTTATTTACCCTACTTGGGACTGCTCCTGAACAAAATACATTATCAGGAGAGAATGTGTTTTTCTCCAAATGTCAAATTTTATTACCGTCAACAGATAAAAATATAAAAAGGTCACTTCCCTAGGGACAAATAAATACCACTAGGATTTTTAAATTACTTCGTTCTGACACCAAACTCCACAGCAGAGAGAGCCACATTTTTATTACCAATGTGCAGCGTGCGCTGTTACTCACCAGAATAGTGCCGTAAGAGAAAAGGAACTCTTCTGTCACAACTTGAGGTCGAAACACCTGGAAGGACAGAGTTGCCGCAGATTAAACGCTGACAGCCAGGTGCAACCCCCGTTTAGGGAGAGAGAGAAATGGAAACGGAGCAGCTGAGTCGATGCTGCTCAGCTCCAGTGTGCTCAGCACACTGATACTGTGCTTCCCTGAGACAGGGATACCTGGGAGGTCACGAGGTGCAGGACCACAGGCATCAGAGGCAGACACATCTTAAGCTGCTTCACTTGAACGGTGGACGGGTGCTTGCGGCCAGAAACGTTAGCCAAGGCGGTAAGGACGTCACCTGGGAAGCACACCGCGGAGGACAGGCGAGGTTAAAGACTGCGCAGGCTGAGGCCCCACTGGTCACCGCTCCTCTCCTACTGGGGATTTCTAAGGCAGCTCTGCTCCAAATACAACGAGTTGGTAAAAGCGGTGCCATCTCTACCTGCAGATACTCAAATTATTAACAGACCATCCATCGTGCCTCTGGGGGACAGGATGTGACATTCTGCGTGTGTACTATCAATTAACTCAACCTCTCATCTACAAATTGAAAATAGATTTTATAAATGATTATGGGTGGTAGTTTTAGATTTTTTTTTTATTTTCCAAATTTCAACCCTGAGTACCTATTATTTTCATAAATGATAAAAATAAGTTGACATTATAATCCATTGTAGGTCACAATTTTTTAAAATGTTATATGATGGAAGTAAAAAACAAAATGCCAGGGCTGGTGCTATGGAGTAGTGGGTATAAAGCCACCATCTGCAGTGCTGGCATCCCATCTGGGCACCAGGTCAAGAATCAGCTGCCCTATTTCCAATCCAACTCCTTGCTAATGTGCCCAGCAAAGCAGCGGAGGATGGCCCAAGCGCTTGCGCCCCTGCTCCTGACTCCTAGCCTTGGCCTAGCTCAGCCCTGGCCATTATGGCCATCTGGGGAGTGAATCAGTGGATTGAAGATCTGTCTCTTCTCTTACTGTCACTCTGACTTTCAAATAAATAAATAAATCTTTTTAAAAAATCAATTCCTGAAACTTTTCATTGGATGATAACCCCAATAGTAATACAACTTGCCATGTGGACAGGAGAATCTTATTCATCCTAAAGTAAGATACGTCTGGGAACAATGAATTCAGCCACCAATCACCTGGATTACAGTCAAGAGGTTGGAGACTGTTCTTAAAAACTTTGCAATTGGGAGTAAATTTTGTGATCTGAATGTAGAAAAGTCTTTTCTTCACACTAGAAAGAGGCACAGCCTGAAGGGAGATCGGGTAACAGAAGCCAAAGCACGGCTTACAGAGAGCACCATGTCGGTGCTCCACGGCACAGGGGGGCGACAATGACTCACGGTAACTATGTTTTTATGAATGAACACAGGAGAGGAGCTCAAAGACTCCACACGTGAAATAAGACAAGGAGAGCGAAGCATTCACTACTGACTCCATCGGTACACACTCAACTCATTTACTCTAACGTCACACGCTGCCCCCATAAACATGTAGGTACAGTCGGGATGTTAACCAAAAAGTGGTTTTTTATCTTAAGGAGATGAAACGCTAAGTAATCCGATTTGCTCATCACACACTGAACGCATGTATCAAGTTATCACAGGGTAACCGAAGCTCACCTAATAAACGAATTGAAAAATCAATCTGGGGATGTTTTACTTTCACTCATTAAAAGGTTAAAAAAAAAAAATCTCCTGAAGTATTAGTAAGGATCAAGAGGTTACTTTCAATTAGCCACGGAGATACAAGTGTTTCCAGAACTTTGATTTAATATTCTGAATTTTTAAGTACACTTTACTAGAATGCCTTGGAGCAAATTCAACATTTAAACATTTCTTGTTTATAGCTACATCTGCTGGAAAAGCATGGAATGGGATTAAGCTACATTTATGCATTCCTTGGATTATTTTAATTTTGCAAATAATAATGAAACAAGGGATTTCGTTAGCTGCAACAAACTTCCTTTGTAAATCATTTTTAGATATTGTATCATAAAGGTAACTTTTTAAAACCAAAGAAATTTCCAAACTTTAAAACAGTATCAAAATTCTTATGCATTCAATTTTATCAACTTAATTAAAAGCTAAGCACTTTAAAGTTTTTTTTTAACAAAATAATAGTGTCAATCTAATTTTAAGCAATTAAGAGGCTTTCCTTTTGTCTATTATCTAAAATTGCCTGCTCACATCAGATAATAGATAGGTAGACAGATAATCCCTTTAGCCTGCTCAGTGACACTGATGGAAAGTAAGAACAAAGACAGTGAGGCAAACTTAAATCTTGAAACTATACACTCAGTAAAAAAAATTGGGTGCTGGCTGGCCTGCGGGAACAGAAGAGAGTGAAAACACGGGCCACGCCTCAAAGTCACGTCCCCGAAAGGGAAGCAGCAGCGGGCCCGCGGCCCAGACTCCACAATTTACCCAGGATCCCTGGCAGCTCCTGCACGACGTGACGGACGAGAAGGGCCAGGCATCTGCACAGGTATTCACTGCCACTCTGCTGCTCCCTGCCTGGAGCGGTCTTTCTGCTGTCTCGTTCGATGTACAGCACCAGTCTACGAGCAGAAAGTGCAAAGGTTACCTCTCAAGATGAAACCGTCGAGAGCATCAGTCCCACAATGCAGCCCGGGCAAGTGCTTCCCGAGGGCACGGTCCCAACCACGTGGGCGTCAGGATGTCTACCACCCTGCCAGGTGCAGTCTAACTGTGGGCCTTGGAAACCTCGAAACGTTTATGCAGAAAGAACAGGGGGCGACTTTGACTCTCTCTGCCGCTGTATGAGAAAAACAACGCCGATTTCATTTGCACACTGGAGAGAAACCACTGTCTCCAAATGATGAATCAAAGGCAGGGATCCTGGGGTGGCAGAGGGCCCCTGGTGTTCCTAAGACCCAAAGAAGCAGCGCACGCTGGCTGCACTTGCAGTGGCCATTAGAATTAAACCTGCTCGGAACCCCAGGCAACTTGCATGAGTTCCAGCTCTTTCAGTCAATCGTGGACATAAATCCAAAGAAAAGGTTTTATAGACACCAGACGCTGTCTCAACATCTGGGAAGGACGTGTCTTTTTTTTTTTTTTTTCCCTAGTTTTCTAGACCTGCCTTTTTTTTAAAACTTTTATTTAATGAATATAAATTTCCAAAGTACGATTTATGGATTACAATGGCTTCCCCCACATACCGTCCCTCCCACCCACTACCCTCCCCTTTCCCACTCCCTCTCGCCTTCCATTCACATCAAGATTCACTTTCGATTATCTTAATATACATAAGATCAGCTTAGTATACATTAAGTAAGGATTTCAACAGTTTGCTCTAACACAGAAACATAAAGTGAAAAATAATAGATGATTTTGTTTAAATGAAGATGAAATCAGATCAGACCTATTGTCATGTTTAATCCCAGTGAGAGTCAAGTTGGGAGTTGATAATTTCTTTTTTCTTTTTTCTTTTTTTTTTTTTTTTTGCAGAGGATCAGTTTAGTATACATTAAGTAAAGATTTCAACAGTTTGCACCCCCATAGAAACACAAAGTGAAATATATTGAGTACTCGTTATAGCATTAAATCTCAATGCACAGCACATTAAGGACAGAGATCCTACATGAGGAGTAAGTGCACAGTGACTCCTGTTGTTGACTTTACCAATTGACACTCCTGTCTATGGCATCAGTAGTCTCCCTATGCTCCAGTCATGAGTTTCCAAGGCTATGGAAGCCCTCTGAGTTCTCCGATTCTTATCTTGTTTAGACAAGGTCATAGTCAAAGTGGAGGTTCTCTCCTCCCTTCAGAGAAAGGTACCTCCTTCTTTGAAGACCTGTTCTTTCCATTGGGATCTCACTCGCAGAGATCTTTTGCCAGAGTGTCTTGGCTTTCCATGCCTGAAATACTCTCATGGGCTTTTCAGCCAGATCCGAATGCCTTTAGGGCTGATTCTGAGGCCAGAGTGCTATTTAGCACATCTGCCATTCTATGAGTCTGCTGAGTATCTCACTTCCCATGTTGGATCACTCTCCCCTTTATTTATTCCATCGGTTAGTATTAGCAGGTACTAGACTTGTTTATGTGCTCCCTTTGACTCTTAGTCAATTGGCTAACTGAAATTGATCACTTGGAATAGTGAGATGGCATTGGTACATGCCATCTTGATGGGATTGAATTGGAATCCCCTGGTATGTTTTTAACTCTACCATTTGGGGCAAGTCAGCTTGAGCATGTCCCAAATTATACATCTCTTCCCTCTCTTATTCCCACTCTTATGTTTAACAGGGATCACATTTCAGTTAATTTTTAACACTTAAGAATAACTGTGTATTAATTACAGAATTAAACCAGTCATATTAAGTAGAACAGTAGTAAACTACTAAGAGGGATAATGTATTAAGTTGTTCATTAACAGTCAGGGCTATGCTGATCAAGTCACCGTTTCCCATAGTGTCCATTTCACTTCAGGAGGTTTCCTTTTTGGTGTTCAGTCAGTTGTCACCGATCAGGGAGAACATATGGTATTTGTCCCTTTGGGACTGGCTTACTTCACTCAGCATGATGTGTTCCAGATTCCTCCATTTTGTTGCAAATGACTGGATTTCGTTGTTTCTTACTGCGGTATAGTATTCTAAAGAGTACATATCCCATAATTTCTTTATCCAGTCTACCGTTGATGGGCATTTAGGTTGGTTCCAGGTCTTAGCTATTGTGAATTGAGCTGCAATAAACATTAGGGTGCAGACCGCTTTTTTGTTTGCCAATTTAAATTCCTCTGGGTAAATTCTAAGGATTGGGATGGCTGGGTTGAACGGTAGGGTTATCTTCAGGTTTCTGAGGAATCTCCAGACTGACTTCCATAGTGGCTTGACCAGTTTGCATTCCCACCAACAGTGGGTTAGTGTCCCTTTTTCCCCACATCCTCTCCAGCATCTCTTGTTGGTAGATTTCTGCATGTGAGCCATTCTAACCGGGGTGAGGTGAAACCTCATTGTGGTTTTGATTTGCATTTCCCTGATTGCTAATGACCTTGAACATTTTTTCATGTGCCTGTTGGCCATTTGGATTTCCTCTTTTGAAAAATGTCTATTGAGGTCTTTGGCCCATCTCTTAAGTGGGTTGTTGGTTTTGTTTTTGTGGAGTTTCTTGATCTCTTTGTAGATTCTGGTTATTAACCCTTTATCTTTTGCATAGTTTGCAAATATTTTTTCCCATTCTGTCAGTTGTCTCTTCACTCTCCTGACTGTTTCTTTTGCAGTACAGAAACTTCTCAATTTGATGCAATCCCAATAGTTGATTTTGGCTTTGACTGACTGTGCCTCCCGGGTCTTTTCCAGAAACTCTTTGCCTGTGCCAATATCTTGAAGGGTTTCTCCAATGTTCTCTAGTAACTTGATGGTGTCAGGTCGTAGATTTAGGTCTTTAATCCACGTTGAGTGGATTTTTGTGTAAGGCGTAAGGTAGGGGTCTTGCTTCATGCTTCTGCACGTGGAAATCCAGTTTTCCCAGCACCATTTATTGAATAGACTGTCCTTGCTCCAGGAATTAGTTTTAGATCCTTGATCAAATATAAGTTGGCTGTAGATGTTTGGGTTGATTTCTGGTGTTTCAATTCTGTTCCATTGGTCTATCCATCTGTTTCTGTACCAGTACCATGCTGTTTTGATTACAACTGCCCTGTAGTATGTCCTGAAATCTGGTATTGTGATGCCTCTGGCTTTGTTTTTGTTGTACAAGATTGCTTTAGCTATTCGAGGTCTCTTGTGCCTCCATATAAATTTCAGCACCAATTTTTCCAGATCTGAGAAGAAGGTCTTCGGTATCTTGATTGGTATTGCATTGAATTTATAAATTGCTTTTGGGAGAATGGACATTTTGATGATATTGATTCTTCCAATCCATGAGCATGGAAGATTTTTCCATTTCTTGGTATCCTCTTCTATTTCTTTCTTTAAGGTTTTGTAATTTTCATCGTAGAGATCTTTAACGTCCTTGGTTAAGTTTATTCCAAGGTATTTGATTGTTTTTGTAGCTATTGTGAATGGGATTGATCTTAGAAGTTCTTCCTCAGCCATGGCATTGTCTGTGTATACAAAGGCTGTTGATTTTTGTGCATTGATTTTATACCCTGCTACTTTGCCAAAATCTTCTATGAGTTCCAATAGTCTCTTAGTAGAGTTCTTTGGGTCCCCTAAATAAAGAATCATGTCATCTGCAAAGAGGGATAGTTTGAGTTCTTCCTTCCCAATTTGTATCCCTTTAATTTCTTTTTCTTGCCTAATAGCTCTGGCTAGAACCTCCAGAACTATATTGAATAGCAGTGGTGAGAGTGGACATCCCTGTCTGGTACCAGATCTCAGTGGAAATGCTTCCAACTTTTCCCCATTCAATAGGATGTTGGCTGTGGGTTTTTCATAGATTGCTTTGATTGTATTGAGGAATGTTCCTTCCAAACCCAGTTTGCTTAGAGTTTTCATCATGAACGGGTGTTGTATTTTATCAAATGCTTTCTCGGCATCTATTGAGATAATCATATGGTTTTTCTTCTGCAGTCTGTTAATGTGGTGTATCACATTGATTGTCTTGCGCACATTAAACCATCCCTGCATACCAGGGATAAATCCCACTTGGTCTGGGTGGATGATCTTTCTGATGTGTTGTTGCATTCTATTGGCGAGAATTTTATTGAGGATTTTTGCATCTATGTTCATCAGGAATATTGGTCTGTAATTCTCTTTCAGTGCTGCATCTTTTTCTGGCTTAGGAATTAAGGTGATGCTGGCTTCATAGAAAGAATTTGGGAGGATTCCCTCTTCTTCGATTGTTCTGAATAGTTTGAGAAGAATTGGAGTTAGTTCTTCTTTAAATGTCTGGTAGAATTCAGCAGTGAATCCATCTGGTCCTGGACTTTTCTTTGTTGGGAGGGCCTTTATTACTGTTTCAATTTCTGTCTCAGTTATGGGTCTGTTTAGGTTTTCGATGTCTTCCTGGTTCAATTTAGGTAGGTTGCATGTTAGACCTGCCTTCTAAGGACAACCTATTTCTTTTTCAAACCACAGCAAATCTGAACCAATCATCTCCAGTCCACAACCAGGGAAAAGGGCAAAGGTCCATTTCCCTTCCCTAGATATTCAGGGCCAAGCTGTGGGCCCTCCTGACATTCACCCCCTCTTTGCTAGGCCAACTGTTCTCCAAAGTTCCTTTTAACCTTCAACTCTCTCAACAGAGTCCACCAAAATCTCTGTAGGCCAATATCCCCATTTACCATCATCCATCTCTCTCCATTTCCATTGTTCTTAGACCATCCAATTTTTACTTAGAATTTCCAATCAATTCCCACTGTCAACTGGAGATGGTTCTCTAAAGAGTGTGAACACACACACTGAAACCTTGACACTTGGAATTTACGTGGGTCTCTCAGTAGGTTTAATTCATGGGTTTGTCTTTCTTACTATTTGGAGCCCTACAACTGAATACACGAGGAGCAAGTTAGTCTTGATTCTGCATCATCACCAAGTTTCCTCTGCTCCAGTCACAGATTACAGCCCAATGCACATTCTAATAAATACACGAC